CAACTTCTACAGTCTGAAATTGATCAAACATATAATAAAGATGAGGAGCTCTGGTAGCATAGTGCCTAAGGCACTTGACTGCTAACCAGAAGGCTGGTGGGTTTGAACCACTCCTCGGAAGGAAGATGGGGCAATCTACTTCCGTAGTGATACTGCCTCGGAAACCCACGGAGGGGTCGCTATGAGTCGGTCCGACTCCATGGCACATAATAACAACCTAATAAAGATGTACTGATAATTACTGGTAATTGGAATGCAAAAGTTGGAAACGAAGCATTGGTAGTTGGAAAGTATGGCCTTAGTGATAGAAATAATGCTGGAGACCACATAATAGGATTTTGCAAGACCAACAACTTATTCACTGCAAATACCTTTTTTCAACAACATAAGTGGCGACTATACACGTGGACCTCACTTGATGAAATATACAGAAATCAAATAGAGTATATTTGTGGAAAGGGGCGATGGAGAAGCTCAGTATCACCACTCAAAACAAGAGCAGGAGCTGACTTTAGAACAGACCACCAATTGCTCATATGCAAGTTCGAGTTTAAGCTGAAGAAAATGAAAATAAGCCCACAAGAGCCAGAATATGACCTTGAGTATATCCCACCAGACTTTAGAGACCATGTGAAGAATAGATTTGACACAATGAACACCAGTGACTGAAGACCAGACAAATTGTGGGAAGACATCAAGAACATCATCCATGAAGAAAGCAAAAGGTCATTAAAAAGACAGGAAAGGAAGAAAAGACCAAAATGTATGTCAGAAGACACCCTGAAACTTGTTCTTGAATGGAGGGTAGCTAAGGCAAAAGGAAGAAATGTTGAAATAAGAGCTGAACAGAAGATTTCAAAGAGTGGCTCAAGAAGACAAAGTAAAGTTTATAATGAAATGTGCAAAGACCTGGAATTAGAAAAACAAAAGGAAAGAACACACTTGGCATTTCTCAAGCTGAAAGAACTGAAGAAAAAATTTAAGCCTCTCATTGCAATACTGAAGGATTCTGTGGGCAAAATATTTAACAATGCAGGAAGCATTAAAAGAAGATGGAAGGTATGCACAGAGTCACTGTACCAAAAAGAACTGGTTGATGTCCAATCATTTTGGGAGGTAGCATATAGTCAAGAAACCTTGGCTTGAATGTATTGAAGGAGGAAGTCCAAGTTGCAATGAAGGAATTGGTGAAAAACAAGGCTCCAGGAATTGATGGAATACTCATAGAGGTGTTTAAACAAATGGATGCAGTACTAGAGGCACCTACTTGTTCATACCAGGAAACTTGGAAGACAGCTACTGGCCAACTGACAAGAAGAAATCCACATTTGTGCTCATACCAAAGAAAGGTGATCCAACAGAAGGTGGAAATTATCAAACAATATCATTATTATCACACACATGTTACTGAAGATAATTAAAATATGGTTGCAGCAGTATATTGACAGAGAACTTCTAGAAATTCAAGCTGGACTCAGAAGAGGACATGGAACGAGGGATATCATTACTGATGTCAGATGGATGTTAGCCAAAAGCAAAGAATACCAGAAAGATGTTTACCTGTGTCTTATTGACCATGCAAAGCCACCTGACTGTGTGGATAATAACAAATTATGGGTATCATTGTGAAGAATGGGAATTCCCAAACACTTAACTTTGCTCATGAGGAACTGGGTGTTTTGGTTACCTAGTGCCATTCTGACAGGAATATACCACAAATGGGATGGCCTTAACAAACAGGAGTTTATTCTTACAACTTGGAGGCTTTAAGTCCAAGTTCAAAGTGCCAGGCTCTAGGGGCTGGATGAAAGCCCCTCAATCTTGGCCTTCAGCTCTGCCTCCTGCTCCCAGCCCACTGGAGCTAGAGGCTTTTCTTCACCCCCGACAACTGCTGGCTGCTGAGGCTGACAAGCCCAAGGCTGACAAACAAAAAGGCACAGTCCCGATGTTACCAAACCACATGGCAGGCCATTTATTCAAGTCCACTGAAGGTCCCAAGGTTGGCAGAGCATGGCAGGCTGCTGAGCAACGACACGGCTACATGCAGGGTTTAAGCATGCCATAAGCTAGAGACCATTCCCCAAGGCTTCTCCATATATACAGGAAGCAGACCATATCCCTAAGGCAGCTACTCAGCTGCTCACAGTAACTTCCACCATGGAGTTGAATACTAGTCTCATCATGGGGAATACTACATTCAGCTGCCCAGCCACTCAACCAGCCAAGCTGACACACAAACTTAACCACCACACTGGGTAAGGGGATACTGCATGATTTAAAATCAGGAAGGGCATGTACCAGGGTTGTATACTTTTCACTTATTCAATCTGTATGCTGAGCAAATAATCTGAGAAGCTGGACTATGTGAAGAAGAATCTGGCATGAGGATTGGAAGAAGCCTCATTAACAATGTGTGATATGCAGATGACACTTTGCTTGCTGAAAGTGAAGATGACTTGAGCACTTACTGATGACGATCAAAGACTAGTCTTCAGTATGCATTTCACCTCAACATAAAGAAAACAAAATCCTCACAACTGGACCAATAAGCAACATTATTACAAATGGAGAAAAGACTGAGGTTGTCAGGGATTTCGTTTTACTTGGATCCACAATCAACACCCATGGAAAGCAGCAGTCAGGAAATCAGATGTTGTATTGTAGTGGGCAACTCTGCTGCAAGAGACCTCTTTAAAGTGTTAAAGAGAAAAGATGTCACTTTGAAGACTAAGGTGCATCCAAGCCATGTTTTTTTTCAGTAGTCTCATATGCATGTGAAAGCTGGACAATGAACAAGGAAGACTGAAAAACTGATGTCTTTGAATTGTAGTTTTGGCAAAGAATACTGAAAATACCATGGACTGCCAGCGGAACCAACCAATCTGTCCTTAAAGAAGTGCAGTCAGAATCCTACTTAGATAACAATGACCAGACTTCATTTCACATACTTTGGTCATGTTGTCAGAAGGGACCATTCCCTGGAGGAGAAGGATATCATACTTGGTAAAATAGAGGATCAGAAAATAAGGGGAAGATCGTCAAAGTGATGGATCGAAACAGTGACTGCAACCACGGGCTCAACCACAGCAGGGATTGTGAGGATGGTGCAGGACTGGGCAGTGTTTGGTTCTGTTGTACAGAGGGTCGCTATGAGTTGGAATTGACTCCAAGGTACCTAACAACATGGGAACCCCGAGGTCCTATACTCCAAATTACTTAAGGGAGTTATTTTTATATTTTGAGAGAATAGTTCTTCAAGAAATACTCATTTGGGATACAGATGAAGAGGTTATTTTTGGGAAGGATTTATATGGAGAATGAATTTGGGAATATGGGGTAAGTTTTAGGGAAATAAGTGATAATGGAATCAACTTAGTGTATGGATTTTGGAGTCAAAATTCAGTGAAGAGAATTTCTATCTTAATTTTCTCACCTGTAAAAGGGAAAATAACAATGCTTATTTGTCCAGTTACTTCAAGACTTTTTAATTTGTCCATCGTCTATTCTAAAGATAAAAAATAGAACATCATCCCTTGTGTAAAAGCATCTAAACAAGTGAATTCACACATTATAGATAGTCGATGAATCTTACTATATTATTGTTTAGAATTAGAAGAGGGGTAGAAAGAGAAATGAAAGTGGTTTGTAAACAGTTAAAGTGTTCCGCAAATACTACCAAAGCCTCAGCCGACAGAAATAGAGCGAGGGATTTCAGGAGCTTGGTTTCGAAGTTATCTTATTTTCCCGTATTTGGGTCTGAATTCTCAGAATAGAGCGTAAAAGGCTGCGAGGGCTCAGATCATCCGGTACAATTTTATGCAAAAAGAAAACTCCTGCCGCCCAACACTGTCTCTATGAGAAACAACACCTCCACCCAAGTGTCCAACTTGAATGCCAACTATGTGACATTACGCCACACCGTACCCCGCACCTCCAAGCCTCTTGCGTGGTGTACCCAAATTACTGTTCCAAGTTTTCGCTTCAGCAGCGCCTGCGCACTGCGGAATGGGATGGGGTGGACGCGTGCGCGCTGCGTAGGGGGCGGGGCTAGTGCGCGCGCAGCTTCATCCCCTTCCACGCCCTTTCTCTACCCAGTTTTTCCGTCAGCTTGGCGATCTCGTCTGGCAGCTGTTTCCGTTCGCAGCGCAGTGCAGGGCGAGCCGGTCTCAACTCTTGGTCATGTCCTACGGTCCCTTAGACATGTACCGGAAGCCGGGGTCCTCAGGGCCCCAGCTCCGGGACTTCAACAGTATCATCCAGACATGCAGCGGCAACATCCAGCGGATCAGCCAAGCCAGTGAGAAGGGGCACTAGGCTGGGGGGCGGGGGCCATCCCGGGACAGGCCTGGTGAGGGCGCTGGGACTCGGAACCCAATCGGAGCTATGACCAGAGTCACACCTGAGGCTGTTTATGGAGAGCGGGGGCGCCGGGATGCCATCCCGAATCTGTCAGGCCCAACCCCCCGAAGGTTCCAAGCCCCAGCCGAAGCTCGAGTTTCTTCTCAGGAGTCCCCGGTGTTGGGTTCGAAACAGAGAACCTGACAGCCCAAGGGTGTGTGTGTGTGTGTGTGTGTACGTGTACGTGTACGTATGTGAGAGAGAGACCTGGAGAGCAGTGGGTGCGTTGACTTGGCGTAGTCGTCAGCTGAAATTTTCCTGTCATCCGCTTACCCCATACCCGCCTCGCTTTCTTTTTGGCCAGAATGAATCAGAGGTTGTTTACTGATTTAGGCTTTAGGTTTATTCTGCTCAGCCACTGGCTCCTCGGAAATCAGCAACTTTCAGTTAAGGGAAGTGGGGATTGCATGTATTCATACATAGTTCTTCCTGTAATGAACTTGGAAATCAGATACAATGATTAATACTTGAGGAGTAAGATGACTTTTGTTTTAATAAGGAGTCACCGAAAACATTTCAGTGTACATTATTATTTGTGGCAAATGATTTGCATGTATTTTTGGATGTCAAGCATAGGAGGCTTTTGTTCTTAGTATTTAGCTACTCTTTTGAACAAATCTGATGCACAGAGAAACTTAGGGACTTAGCGACAATTACATAGCAAGTAAGACATGGTAAGAGTTAGTGGTGGAATTCAGAATGTCATTGCTTGTCCTAAAACTCCTTCCTCACCACTAGGGACTGAGTGAGACCGTAGCTGAATGTGTCAAATACAGCCTATATCTTGTGCGTGAAAATCAGCTCAGAGGCTTACTCACTGGAGGTCAGCAGCAGCAACTTTACTTGGAACAAATGGTGATCATCATCATTGTTGTATAGTACTGTGTTTTTGTGAGCTTGGCTGTAATCTGCTAATAGGTAGAACTAGTTGGTCCTGAACTACAAACGTGTTCTGTATTTTAAAGAATAATCTGTCACTTTGTTTTTAATTTAATGTGGGATGTGGAATTTGAGAGGCAGGAAGTTTCTGATTGGAAGGGATTGAGACTTGAGTGATTTGGAAGTGGAAAGAATATGTGTCCTGTAAAACCAAGAAATTAAAAAAAAGTTAGTATGACAACTAGATAGAAAGCTCCAGTTTTCCCTGTGAAGGAACAGTAATACAGGTTAGATGAAAAATTCTGATTCAGGGCAGAAAGCTTGTTGAGTCTAAAGCTAATTTTAATGTCTTATTTATTTGTGAAATACTCATTTAACATACCATTGAGTATCAGACTATGGAGAAACTGCACAAAATTCTTTCCCCAGGAGCCTATGGAGTATGTAAACAACCAAAATGTATAGTTGAAAGAGATCATTGGTATAAAGGGGATACAAATAAGATTATGTGGGTATTTAGGAGAGAGAGATCCTTTTCAGTGAGGAGGAATCAGGGAGAACATTTGAACTAGTTCTGGAAGGGAGGTGGGAAGGATTTGGAGTTTTGAAGGTAAATAGAGAAGAGTGTTCCAGGAAGAGGGAGTAAAATGAACAATGACATTGTAGTGGGGAAACATGGGGTGTATATAGAAAAGTAGAGTCATTCAGTTTGGCTGGAGTGATGGGCTTAGCAAAGTAGTGAAAAATAAAGTTGGAAAGATGAGTTGGGGCCCAAACATGAAAAGCTTTAATTGCTGGGCTGAGAGGCTTGAGCTTAATTCTTTAGGAATGTGTAAATTGAATTGGAAGAGAGAGAGAGACTGGAATCAGAGATAGCAGTTAGGCACTGTGACAATGAGAAGGAAGGGCAGAATTGGAGAGATTTCCATAGAGATAGAATTGGTAAGGCTTCAGTAGTACCTGGGTGACACAAATGGTAAAGTGCTTGAGGACTAGCTGAAAGGTTGACAGTTGGAATCCATCCAGAGGTGCCTCAGAAGACAGGCCTGGTGATATGCTTCTGAAAGGTCACAGCCTTGAAAACTCCTTAAGGAGCAGTTCTACACGGCACATATTGGGCCATCATGAGTTTGAAATGATTCAACACCAGCAGCTTTTGATTGGGCATTAGACTCAAGGGGATCATTGGAATCAACTGTTTATAATATTAGCAGCTAATGTTTATTGGGGAGCTCTGGTAGCGTGATGCCTAAGGCACTTGACTGCTAACCAGAAGGCTGGCGGTTCAAACCCACCAGCCACTCCTCAGAAGGAAGGTTGGGCAATCTACTTCTGTAGTGATACTGCCTCGGAAACCCAAGGAGGGGTTGCTATGAGTCGGGGCTGACTCGACAGCACATAACAACAACGATGTTTATTGAATACATACTGTATGCGGGAGCTCTGGTGGCGTAGTGCCTAAGGCATTTGACTGCTAACCAGAAGGCTGGCAGTTCAGACCCACCAGCCACTGAAGGAAGGTTGGGCAATCTACTTCTGTAGTGATAGCGCCTTGGAAACCCAAGGAGGGTTTTGCTATCAGTAGGATCCGACTCCACGGGAGTGTTTGGTTTTTTTTAATACTGTATTCAGGCAGTATGAAAGATGCTTTAACTGCATTATCTTACTTAATTTCATAATATCCCTGTAATATAGGTACCAATAGGAGCTCTGGTAGCATAGTACCTAAGGCACTTGACTGCTAACCAGAAGGCTGGTGGTTCAAACCCACCAGCCACTCCTCGGAAGGAAGATGGGGCAATCTACTTCTGTAGTGATACTGCCTCGGAAACCCAAGGAGGGGTCGCTATGAGTTGGGTCCGACTTGACGGCACATAACAACAACATAGATACTGGTAGACTTTCCATTTTAAGGATTAGAGTACAGTCTGAGAGATAATAATTGCTTAGCTAGTACCTTAATTTGAAACTACGTCTGTCACTTATGACCTGCAACTAGTCTTTTTATATTTTTTAAATTGCTCTTAGAGTTCTGTAACAGTTAATTTAACACTTAAGTATACATGTGACTTGTTTTTTCACACTCCAGAGGAAACTCTGAAGCTGTGGGGCTTTCTACTATTCTCTTCTTGTAGTGTGTCTGTCTCTTCTGTAGATTATTTGCTCCTTTGAGGCAGGGAAGATGACTTATCATCTTTATATTCCTAATATTTATCTCAGTCCCAAGACTCATTCATTCACCTACTGGAGAAATATTCTTTGAGTAGTGGCTATGTGTCAAGCATTGTTCTAGGTGCTAGAGTTAGAGGGATTAGGAAGATGGATAGAGTTCCTGCCTTGATAGAGAGTATGTACGTGTGTGTATATGGAGTCCTGGTGGTTAAGTGCTCATCTGCTAACTGAAAGTTGATGGCTCGAACCCACCTAGCGGCTTCTTGGTTGAAGGACTGGTGAACTGCTTCGGTAAAGATAGCAGCCTAGAAAACCCTATAGGGAAGTTTTACTTGGTTGTATGGTATCACTATGACTTGACAGCACTTAACAACTACAACAACATACATACATTGCCAAATAATAAGTTCTATAAAGAAAAATTAAATAGTGTAAAAGGATAGAGAGTGAGGAAAGAGGAGGGTGGATATGGTATTTTAGGTAAGTTGGTCCAGGAGGATCTCTCTGAGGAGGTGACATTTTCATAGATACCTGAATGAAGTGTGGGATGGAGCTATGTGAGAACCTGTTCTAGGCAGAGGAAACAGCAAAAGCAAAGACATTGGTGTGTTCAAAGAGTAGCAAGGAGGCCAGTGTGTCTAGACTGCAGTAAGAGAAGGAGGAGCAAAGTAGGGGAAAAAGGTCAGAGAGGTAACCAGACCATATATCCTGATTGATTTGAATGAATGAGGTTTTGTACTATCTTGGAACTCTTCAGGTGCTTTGCCCCTCATACTGTGCGGTACCTACTGTGTACCCCAGGAAGTACAAGTTGAAATTCTTCCTTTGGGATTGTTTGGTGAGGAAATAAGAATTAGGAAATTGGAAGGAGAACATTACTTCTACCCAGTTAAAAGGCCTAGTGCCTATCCCTCAGACCTCTCCAAGACTAGGCTGGCATACCCAAGTATACTCTCTGAATGTGAGCTCATGGACATATGCCACACCACAGGCCTGCAAGGACTTGTACCCATTGAAAATTTGAGAGAGTATCTTTTTTTCCATAGTTCTTCTCATGTGGGTTTGGAATTGCTGAGCCCATCAGCCTGAGATACAGCAGGCCACTGTGTGGGTTGTTACAGGTACAGCTAAGGTTGACTGGCTGGTACAAAAGGTTGGTTATTGGTGTTGTGGAAGGGAAGGTCTGGGGGTGTATTGCAAGGTCAGTTATAGGGAAAAACCCAACAGTCTCAAAGTGTGCTCTTTTAAGAGATTAAAAAAACAACATTCCTGTTCCTTGTGTTTGCTAATTTATTGATAAGATTTTGTTTCCTAAAATAATAAAAGGAAGTTGAATTTCTAAAACTGATTATCATGAAATCCTGTGGATTCTTCTTTCAGAGTTATTTTCATATTTGCCTTTTTGCTTTTTATTTCATTGCTACCCTCTTAAATCTTCATCATCTCAGTACCTGTATTCTGACAGCATACTCTTAAGTTGTTGTCTCTGATTGTAGTGCTTTCTCCCCATTCTAGTTCATTCTAATAAACACAGATGAACATATCAGTGGTATGTCTAAAATCGTGTTTTCATTATGCCATTCATCTCAAGAGCCAACAGGGACTCTGCTGTCCACTGCATCACATTTTAAACATCCACTCTCTCTGAAATCTTAACCCAGACTTGTCATCTTTTCTACTCCTCTGCCTTTGCTGTCGGTAGGCTATTTTTCTTAATGGCCCTGGACACACTTTTTTTGCTTAAGTTTTTGCTCACTCTGTTCCTCTTCTCTTTAGTATATTTCCTCTTCCTGTCTCACTTACTCAGACAAACCAAACTCACTGCCATTGAGTAGATTCCTACTCATA